AAATACTGTAAATATGAATGCTTTACAGTGAAGTTGTTTATAGTAAATACTATGTTATATTGATTATAGGCTACTTTTTGGCCATTTTGAGAATCAATTTAGTTTACAATATGAGGGATTATAAGTAATAGATAATTTTTTACGAAAATGTTGCTAACATATTTATTTTAAATCACCATAAGTAATCTAGTGTAAAGTGGGGTTTGGCAATTATTTCAAAACTTACTGTTAATTACTGTCACTAGTGATTGGTCCACATCCGAAGACTATGTAATCCGGAAATTTCAACTATGGATGTTCAGGGTCGTTGGAGGCACGTTTCCACACTTTTACGGTACTTATAAAAAATATCTATTTCTAAAATTAATAAACATTTATTTTACGGACCGATAGGCCGAGGGTTGTTTGGATTCCCGGGGATATTGCCGTATAGAGTGCCCATCACTACAGTCGGTATGAATTGGGGGTTAAAATTGGATTTTAGATATGAGTTGAATTTTCTGATTTATAATAATTATATTGCAATGTGTTGTGAACAGTGGGTAAACCCATGGATGTGCCGCTAATACCGGAGCCATCGCGCGAACAGATCGCAGAATATCATCGAAAATATATCCAATGTTTGCGCGAATTGTTTGATGAAAATAACGATAAATACGGGCAAAAGGATTTGAAACTTGAAATTAAATAGGTTTACATGTAAACTAATATTTATAAATTAATTTGCGAGTTAATTTTAATTTATTTTGATGAACAAAACTATTTCAATATTTATATTTTATAATGTCACACAGGTATTATTAACGATTATTATGTTGAATAATAATTTTCTAATGATTATACATCATAAACAATCTTATTATTTAAACATAATATAATAAGTTATACAAAAAGATAATCTACAAATAAATATTTGATTAAATAAAATCTATTTTTAAACTGTAAATACAAAATAATTTTATATTTAATATTATGCTTTTAATCTACAACCTTAATTAATTGGATGGAAACAAAAACGCGCAATAATTATAAATTAGTTTAGCTTGATGAACAAAATTATTTTTATATTTTTATTTTATAGTATCCTACGAATACTACAGGGTAGCCTTTAATTAGCAATGCCACTTTAATTTTAATTTATTTTAATACCCCGTAGTTTATTTGTGTAAAATATACAATGAAATACTCCTGGATAGTTAGGGCTTTATTTGATATATTACATGTCCATGTGATTCTTAAACAGAATTTTACACAAAGAATTTAATTAAAAAGTTATCAAAAATTTTGTGTTTTTGTATTCATTTCATAGGTATTTTATCTGCTTTTGAAACTGTCAATAAAATATATTTGTTTGATTTTACACATTTTAAATATAATATTTACAAAACTGTCATTTTATATAAATTAAATTAATTTGGTATATTTATTCAAATTCAATCCATTTTATAAAAAAATATATAATTTTTCAAAATTACAGTTTGAATAAAATTTAAACTTATGCACAAATATCAATGAATTGCATACAAAAACACAAAATTATGGAAACTTTTTTAATAAATTCTTTTTATAAAATTCGGTTTATGAATAACATTGGTAAGTTATATATCATATAAAACCCTAACTATTCAGGATTATTTTAATGTATATTTTAAATAAATAAACTGAACAGTAGTAAAATAAATTAAAATTAAAGTGACATTGCTAATTAAAGGATACCCTGTATTTACAATTATTAAGTTGGATAATAATTTTCTAATGATTATACAACATAAACAATCTTTTTATTTAAACATAATAAGTTATACAAAAAGATAATCTACAAATAAATTTTTTGATTAAGTAAAATCTATTTTTTAAACTTATCCATTTTTAAACTGTAAACACAAAATAATTTTATATTTAATATTATGGTTTAATCTATAACCTTAATTAATTGGCATAGCATAGGCCGGAGATTACATTTTTTTGTAAAAAATAAGGGAGGTATCTATAATATTAAATAGAATTTAATTATATTTCCAATTTTGTACCATGCGCTATAAACATAATAAAAAAAATTGTTAAGCACCCCATTTTATTTATCTAATCCGTATGAATAATCCTTTATTAGTACCATTGGTTTTTGAAAAATATTCATTGATTCAATCAAAAAATATATTAATAAAATGAATTTTTAAACACATTATTCATAACAAATATATCTAATTATCAAAAATATGACACCATTTTTTTGTGCTAAATTGTGAATAAATTATAAGTTACAAAGATTATTTGAATGTGCCGGTACAGAATAAATCATAGGCTAGTATTTGTATTTAATTAAATGCGGAATTAATCATAAAGCCTTATTATAAAAATACATTAAAATTATTAATGTTATTCACATTATATAAGTTTTTATGATTTTATTTGTAAAAATGTAATTCATATAAAAATTATTTTTTATAAATACTTCCTATTATTAAGGATATAAAAAAATTAAAATATAACAGTATTTACAATTAATATTATAAATCTGCCAGTTATTGTTGCAAACATTTATAATACACATAACTAATATTTTTTTAATTTTTGTTAAAAATGGATATTATTTTTGGTGACAAATATGGCCAACATTTGCAATCATTTGAAAGACATTTACAAACATTGGCCGCACTTTTCGTGAGCTCAGAGTTTCTTATAATTCATCAGTTGGTAAAAAGCACCTTGGCAACAATGCTATTTACACCGTTGTCATTCGTATCTGTGTTATATTATGCCTGGTCATATTACGATAGAAATGTCTATAATTACGGTAAATATTAGCCTAGCTTACTACTATATAATTTATAACTAATAACGATATAATCTAGGTTATAATATTTAGTAGTACTTAGTTGGATAAGTATTATTATAATTAGAGATAAATATTTTATATAGATTAATTAATAATTTACATGCATATACGGTAATGTAATAATGTATAATAATAGAGTAATAAATCAAATTAAATTGTAAATAAAATAAACAATGCTAACCTTATCTAACACAACATACCCTATCATGTAAATTATAATAAATTATAAAACATGCAAGATGATCAAAATATCCATAGAATTTAAGGCATTACATTATATAGCTATCATTATTAAAGGCTCAGTCCGGGTCACAATAGTAGTGACAAAATTTTGAACACTTTAACATTAGTTAGTATTGAGATTAATGTTAAAATCTTAGTTTTGTCACAACAAGTATAGCTCTAATTGGCACTTTGATAGTCATTGGTCAATAGTGTCTATAATAATTGTTGTGGGTTATTTAATAATAACATGAATTTGTTTGGAAAAGGCGGTCGTATAAGCCATTGGGTGAGGAATATGTCGATTTGGAGACATTACGCCAACTATTTTCCCGTCAAATTAGTCAAAACCGAGGACTTGGATCCCGAGAGGAACTACATGTTTGTGTGTCACCCGCACGGCGTAATGGTGGCTTCACATATGGCTAACTTTGGCACTGAGGGCACCGGTTTCTCACGATATTTCCCCGGTCTTACCCCTCATTTGCTAACACTGGAGAGTGTATTAAGTCAGCCATTTAAAAGGGAACTGCTACTTTCTATGGGTATGTATGTTATAAAAAACCATTGTTAATTATTTAGTAGCTACCTCAATTTATGGCTTTTAATTAGCTACTAGTAATTGAAACAACTATTGTTGAGTACTATGTACATTGTACTATACATGTATTCAAATATAAAAATGATTTTTAATTATTTAATAACTTTATAATTTATATTAATATAGATATAATTTATTTTGAAAATACTTATTAAATATATTTATTATTCAGGCTTTGGTGCTGCTACAAGGACCTCGATGAAGTGGTTTTTAACGTATAATATGAATAAAATAAATACACAAATCTTAATAAACTAGTAAACATTTATTTTTATATTATTGTAGACATCCGGGTAAAGGACAGGTATTGGCACTGATAGTAGGCGGCGCTCTCGAGTCATTTGACACAATTCCCAATACAATGAGATTAACGTTAAATAATAGGTTCGGGTTCGTTAAACTGGCACTCGAGCACGGGTATGTTATTATAATGATATCGTTTTTACTAATCTATGCAGTATAATAATGTACATAGAAAAATTTTTAAAGATTTATAAATTTACTATGCAGTGGAATTATATCAAAATATAATGTTAAATAAATAATTAATTTATCATTATTTAAATATAATAAAGTTTCTAAAGCTAAAATAATATAATTTTCGTTTTACGGCACCTTGACATCAGGATTTATAGAAATTAGCCATATTAAATTTAGAATTTATCAAAAATAATTAATAAAATTGGTTTGGTTAAAATGTTACATTTTGAACCTAACCCAGTGGTTCTCATTCTATAAATATAGTGACAACTAGCGTTGTAACAACTTTGCATTTTAAAGTATTCCATTCAACACTAGTTATTTTGTTAATCTCTAATACTTAAAGTTAAAAGTCATGATTTGAAAATTATTTATTCGTACAAATTATAAATGAAACAAAACACACCATTTATTTGTTATAATATGAGTCTAAACTTGATTATTTTATTTTTTGTTTATTTTAAGTACTTACAATTAACAAATATTCATATATGAATTGTCAACCTGTTAGTTTTGAAATAAAATATTATATTGATTAGTAAGGTGAGTAAGGTAAAATTAATAAATAAAATAACTAGTGTAGAATCAAATGCTTTAAAATGCAAAGTTGTTACAAGGCTAGTTGTCACTTAAGTGACAAATTGAGAACCAGTGACCTAACCTAACCTAACCTAACCTAACCTAACCTAAGCCAACATAGGTTAACATAATAGCACTTATTTATAAAATATTTCAAAAATTTTATTTCTAGTACACCATTGGTCCCGGTTATATCGTTTGGCGAAAATGAAACATTCACAATATTGTAATTATGTTAATTGATCACAAAAATTATTAGATCCTTGTTAAAACTACTTTGCAGTTTTACACTAGAAATTAACATTATGCTACACAAATAATGTTAAAATATTAATGATATTCATCCATTAAATGTTTAAGTCATGGATAATGGGTTAATGCAGTGACAACTAAAATATGTTTTTTTTTAAAAATATGTGGCTCATAATTTATTTATTTCATATATATTATCAGTAGATAAAGTACTATACAAACACAAATATCGTTACTATTTTTACTATATTCACAGTCACCAGTAAATGTGTGATTTCTAGACATTTCTATATTGATTTTTAGTAGAGAAATATAGTTTTAAAAATATTCACGAACTTAACAAATAGAAACTAATGGGATAGATCTCTATGAATTAGTCAATGTTTTAACATATAAACACTAAAACAAATACTTAATTTAAAAATTACAGTTTATAATTTTCATTAAATACTTTA